ATAAACACACAGATGAGGCACACTGTTATAGTGGGTGACAAGTTCCTCCATTACAATGAACAGGGGGCATTGTAGTTTCATTTGAGCCAATCCCACATACGCCACCCTGCTGTAATACTCACCAGAGCAGCAAATATGTATGTATCTGCTGGTGAAAACAGTCCTACAAACACACTTATTCATGTTTTAGTAATGCTTGCTTGAAATCATCCCTGTACTTGTTTTCTATTTCCTTCTGATTTTCACCATTGCATTCAGTTGTGACACTCTATTTTACCTTATCGTATAATCTTTTAATTATTTGTTTAAGGGGGAAAACATTTTTTTTTCTTTCATTATAGTATACTACCTAGTAATATGAAAACCACCGTTTCCCCTCTCATTATGAATGATTATCTGCTTATAGTCATACCAATACAGCAAATTTGAATTCAGAGAATGCATAATTGAGCAAATCATAAGAGAGAAACAGACGTTTTGCAGTATTTGGTACTTATTTTGAGTAATTCTGTGCAGCTCAAGGTTTGTGGAGCGACAGTTGCAGGCTGGAGTGCGCAGTGATGGGCTGTGATAAGCAGGCTGCCGTCACAGCTCTGCTATCAGGACTCAGACACCAATCGAACATGTGTACACATCATAAATAGGCCCATGAAAGTTTGTTTTACTCACCAGTTGATTGGTGTACCAGTAGAGAGACGTCTTCTTCAGAACAAACCAGTACTTCTTCCATTTGATACCCAGGAAGCCCTTGCTCTCTTTTTTCCTGTACAGCCAGCCCTGGTGGTCTGGCTGCCCCAGCTCTTTGACCGAGATGCGTCTTCTGCTCATTGTACCATTGCCTGTGCACAGAAAACACACGCACATGAATGCACTGAGACCTCCTCTCCTTTGTCCGCAGAGAAGCAACGCCACAGTTTAGCATTAGAGGAAGCAATAAGTTGCAGAGACTAAAATCCAAGCAGGCAAAACATTTCCATTCAAGTGCAAATAGGTCACTGGGTTTGGGTCAATAATCAAAATGAATTCTAAAAATAACACCGAACAAAGCCACACAGCATCCAGAGATCAGTCAATTCAAAAGTGCTGTGCTGCGTTCAGCCTACCTGTTCCTGTGATGAATCAGACAGCAATAAGAACAACACAGAAAGTTGGAATTTGAATGAGCTTTACAGATCCAAGATGCTGATAAAGAGCAGTTCAAATATAGAGGAACTGAAGTGAAACTAACCGAGCGTTGCCCTGCCACTTAACACACGCCCACATAGGGTCCAAATTACAGTTGAGGGCACACATGGAGACAAAGTGATGAGAGCTCGAGGCTGACGGCTTACCTCCTCGGGTCTTCTTCTTGGACTTGTGTCGGAGGGAGACCTTTCGGGGAGGAGAGCAGAGGAGGAGAGCGCTCAGGTCAGACAGTCAGGAGGAGGAGACGAGAAGAAACACACTGACAGTCTCAGACCCCGCAGCCGAGGCGAACACTGAGTCTGGAACATCCTGTTTCTCACCCCGAGTGTCACATGAATTCGCTCTCTGCTGTTCTCTCTATCTCTACTCCACACACACATTAACACAACCCCCCCCCCCCTCCCTCGCTCTCGAACATCCTCCATGCTGTTACTTGACTTTCCGCCTCTTGTGCTCGTCTTTTTTTTCTCTTTCTTCTTCTTCTTTTAAATTGAGCTAAAACACTAAGAGAAACCAAGCTAGACAATGACCCGCTAACAACCCGGTGGAGCATAAGCTAGTATAAATATTTAACTTTGTCATCGTAAAACAGGAGAAGCAGAAGTACTTCCACCATTGAAAAAAAAGAGCAGGCTTTTCCATTTCATTATAGCGAGAAACAGGGCAACCTGAGTAAATGTCATACATGAAAAAAGGAATAAATTACTTACAGGGTTGTAGTCATCGGCAGCCATGGAAGGGGGGACAGATATGGGGAAGGCAGCCTGTCAGAAGAAACCAAAAAGACACACCTTAGCCACAGAAGCGTAGGTCGACAATATCACTACCCACAGGTAAATGGGCCGAAACTGAGCAGTTTTGTTTTTTTTTCTCCTCATTGTGACAGCAGGAAGTGACATCATGGGCAGGCAGCACAGATAATGTTGCTCAATTAGTTCCCCCCCCCACCCCTTTTTTTTCTTCTTTAGCAGAGCGAAGAAAAAAAACTAAACAACAAACACAAATGTGAATTAAAAGTGAGGAGAAAAAGCAGAATCCTCCTGAGGAAATGGAAGCCGAGTCAGAAAAATGGTTGAAAACTTGAAAAAGTTCAATCTCATCAACAGCACTGACTCACAGCTGAAAAAGTCACTGTCAGCCTGTGACACACACTCACACTACATTAACGTACCGCAGATTAAAAAGGCCCCTTTGTAGTGTCAAACATCGAAAAGGGGCTTTCTAGCAGTGTCAAGCAGAGATGAAAAAAGGACATTTTGAAATGTATCAACCTAAATGAACAGCGGCATGAAAGGTGTTGAGAAATCTATGTTGCCATTATTGACTAACTTCCTCTGCGCGCTTAAGTTCCTTTTTTGTGACAAAGCTGTCCGAGAGAGACACGCACAATACCACACACTGAGCAACTTTATATTTAACTATACAACACAACACAGCACACATCTGGATATGATCTGACACAAATTAGGAATCCCAACCAGCCATTACACGTTGTAGATCTAAAACATCTCCCTGTGAGTCTGTTCATTATATAACCTTGACGTAACACCTTTTCAGACGAGAGAAACCAACCTTGATGTCAGGAAATGTAAAAGCGCAGCTGGCAATGGGGTCAAAGGGTCCTGAGCTGAAGCAGTTGTTCGCGTTCAATCACCCACCACAAACTCAATCTACAAATGACCCGAGCGAGAAGAAGAGAGGAAGACTCATACCTGGTACTCTACAACTTCACCAAAAAACCTTAGCTTAGTATCAGTATCCTGCACTCTAAAGGCTCACACAATGACAGCACTTATCTCAACTAAACCTCTGTGCATCAGTGAGTGTGTGTGTGTGTCTTTTTCTTGCACAACACACACGCATCACATCTTGTTTTCCGGGTGTTTGAGGCAACCATCTGCCTGTGGGAGCTGCATGATGATCACCACATAAACCACAGCACGAACGTGCGCCTATCTTAACATGTGAGGGTGTATGTGTTCAGTAACTAAGATTTTCCCCACATTTGAAAGGTCGAGCATAACTTTAGTTCTGAGATTCATGTTCAACGAATGGATCAGTTAGATGTACAGGTAACCCTTTACTGGAGGGAGCATTACAAGAGATCAGTAAATCAAGAATGTATCTTTCAACTTCAATCAGTTCAGCTGGCAACTATCTGTTTTTTTAATCTTTAAAGACAATGAAATAAGCTTTGCTTTTTTTCACACCTTGGTTGAATGTGATTTTTTGGTTACTGTACCAAGTAAAAATGTGAAATACGTCTGGAAATCTATACAAAAAAAACCTACAAAACAAAAACATGCTAACGGTAACAGTCAAACTATTAAGTACAAATGCAATTTCACAAACTTGAAGTGTGTGGGAAAGTTGTGTTTTAACAGCTTGGACATTAATAAATCCACACTGCACTGGAAATTCATTTTAAATACATTTTGAAAACTTAAAACACGTAGCTAAATGTTAGCTAAACCACACAGACTGCACTTTAAACAACATGTCACCAACATTCAAACACAGCCGTGTAGTTTGGGCTGTAACGTTAAGTCCCTGAAAGCAGCATGTTCGTGTTCTAGTGGCCAAACATTCAAGAAACGACGCCATTTATCAGTTCCACACAGTTTTAACAATATACATACATGTAATGTTACTGTACCTGCCAGCATGACCTCAACGAACGGAGTTTGGCCCAAAAGCTCTGCTCAAAGTCTGACCAAACCTTGGCGAGCATGTCGGAAAAAGACAAAGAAGAAATTCAAAGAGAGCTCGGTGGGTTTCAGGTGAGTTCAGGTCCTCTTTGGGTGTTCCCCTCTCTAAGTCCAAAAAACTCAAATTGAAGCGACCAAAACTGTGAGGGCACCTTTTGTTTTAATACAGCAACGACTTTTCATCTATTGTTGCATTGTTGTTGTATTATACTCAGGTGAAATTAATAGTTTATCTCGGGGGGGTCCTCGCATTTCCCGCTCAGGGCCGCTAGGTGTCGCCAAGTTACCGCTATGTAAGCCTGATGAGCCGCACAAAATCAGTGCGACGTTTAGGGGACACACAGACACAGCAGATGTATTGGGGGGAAAAAAAGAGAATGTATGTTTATGCCACCTATAAACTGTTTATTTGTTATATTTAATGTCATTTTAGTCCAGTCTAAATTTTATGTGATGCATTTCCACTTCAAATACCTGGATTCACACACAGTAAATCACAGAGTAACTCACAACACTAATTAGGTTGAATTTCCCATATGACTCATGTGAAAGGAGTGTTGAGGCCAGGACCTGGCTGAATGGCTGCTACCAAAACACAAATTCACAAAATACACTGTGGTTTTCTCCAGAAAGAACGAGAAAAATAAGTGTTTCATGTTACAGAGTCCACTCGTGGCCCTGAGCGGCTGCGGCCTGGCTATCAACACCCTCCGCCGTCTCTGTGGGGAGCTGGGTTTGTAGCCATAACATCGCTGCCCCGAGCTGTATCTATGCAGAAGCTTCGGATGTTCTGTCCTATGTTTGCCTGTGCTGGGATGGCGGTAAACCAGCAGACACATTCCTGAGTCCTGCGTTATTATAGTCTCCATTTCATTTCTGCTTAAATAGACAGGGGCCTCTTCCCTCTTTCCACTTGCTATTGTACTGCAGCGAGTGAAGTGACTATGAAGAGTCCCCCCTCCCTTTATATCTCTCGCATTCTCACACTGTAGCTTCCCCTCCCATTTGTCACCCTATCTGTCTCATCCGTATCAAGTAACTTCCTTGTGTTACCCCTGAACCCCCCAAAAGCTCCCCCTTTGACATTTCAATTAAATGTGTTGAGTTATATAAAAGATTTCAACACAATTCACACTCTTCTCATTTTTGTGATGAGGGAAAAAGTCTCAGCACGCCACTTTAGGGTGATTTAAAGGGGCATTTCGCTGAAGCTGTGTTTGGATGGAAGTGAGGTAATCTTGCCTGCGACTCATGTCAAAGGCCCGAAGGAATCACGGGAATGCAGATTGGTCACACCATTGTAGCACTCAATCTCCCATCACGATCCATGCTGAGAATTGTCACGGCACTTAGCTAATGCCCCCCCTCCTCCCACCCAGAAACTGTGTGTGTGTGTGTGTGTGTGCGTATGAGGGAGAGAAATGAGAGAGGAGGGTCAAACAGAGTGGCTATTATTCAGCAGGGGAATCTCACACAGTGTAAAAGGGGGGAAGGGTGCAGGGCTGGAAATGATATCAAATTCTAGCTTGCTCAGTTCGATGCCCACCCCCGCTTGCTGTTGGTAGTAACTGCAGAGTTGCCCTGGCACTGGTCACCACCTCAGTTTAGATCTTGCTGCATGCGCTCACTCATTATAGCTCGAAATGTATTGACTGACAGCTAATGAGGATTTGGTTTGAACTGGATTTCTTCTGTGCAGCAGATGCATTCGTTCAGGTATACACACACATTACCCGAAGCAACAAAAGCAGTAAAATAGTCGATTCGTCTCTGTATTTCCCCGTCTATCCTATATAGCCGGTGACAGTAGGGTCAAGGTTTTCTTGTTTTGGTGCAACAACAAGTTGCCGTTGGACCATAAATCTGTACAGACGTGATTTGTACACATGCCGCTACTGACTATGTGCCTAATCCATCTGACCCCTGTGGAGGTGTGTGCCACTAAGGGATTGACAGTAACTCATGGTACTGTGGTGTATGGCCTCTGTCTGTGTGTGTGTGTGTGTGTGTCTGTGTGTGTGTGTGTGTGTGTGTGTCGTGGTGTGTGCGTGTGTGTGTGTGTCTGTGTGTGTGTGTGTCGTGTCTGTGTGTGTGTGTGTTGTGGTGTGTGTGTGTGTGTGTGTGTGTGTGTTGTGTGTGTGGCGCACAGACAGCAAAGCGATCCTGAATTTACCCTTGCGGTCACTTCAATTTCCACATCTGCCACCAGCCAGTAGATTGCATCCAATCCATGTGCCAAGCGCATCCAATGAGGAACAGGAACAAAGAGCGCCTCCCAGCCATGCTAGCGTGGGCAGGGCTTTGAGCTAAATGCTAATGTCAGCATGCTAACACAGTGACAACAGGTATTGTGTGTACCATTAGCAAGCACAAAACCCACTAAGTGCAGCTAATGCTTTTTAGTTTTATACGTATTTAGGCGTAAAAAGGAATTCCTGGGACAAGATTAAAATGTGTGCACCAAATGGAAACCCAACCAATAGTTATTGAGAGATTTCCCCCAAACCCCCAAAGTGAACCTGAACGTGGCACTAGAGGAAAAGTCAGAGGATCACAAGAGTCATCAGGCTTTATCTCCTGAGGACCATGTACAAAGTGCATGGCAATCCATCCAACACATTTCATTTTCCAATCAGGCTCATGCTGTGGACTGACAGAGACATAGTCCTCAGTCAAGACCCTTCACGTGATCATCCGCACGCCGTGTTGCTGCATACCGTTGGCGTGTTGGTTTGTGTTTGATAGTGAGCGCAACAGAACTGCGTATGCTGTCTTATCCGTGTGTGAAATGTAATGGGCCTGTAATTGAGGCTTTCAGTTTCACCTCCTCCCGCCGAGGCTGAGCCCAGTGGCATTCCTCACATTGCACAGTGGACTCAGTCAGTCAGTCACGCAGATGTATGAGATTGCGCACGCATACTGTATGACCCCATACACCAATATCATTCTTTCATCAGTGGGATTGATGGCGGTTGCGTATAGACAGACAGAGGCCGGACAATATACTTACTGCTTGAGAGAAGGACCAGGATCGTATTTGTGGTTGATTATACCTGAAAGAGACAATGAAAGTCATCACTTCATGGCTTGAAACAGACGACTGAAACTGATGTCAAGCAGTACTTTACAGTAAAGTTGTCTTGTACAGCAAGAAGCTCTATCTAACCGTCAAACACATACTTATTGCATCTCAGCTCACTCATAACCACTCATTATCTTTATCTATGTTCCCATCCAGCTTACTTTGATACGGCCTGAACAAAACAGACCCGTGGAGACTGTGTAAGTGTTGGCATTTAAGTTGGTGTGCCAGTGGTTCTGATAATATATCTGGCAACCAGCCACAGCAGCATGGGCAGACAAGAAACTTGTTCCCAATGTGCAAAATGCTCCATTTACCTCAGCCAGGCCTCACCCTGCAATTTCATGGTATGAAATTGTCTCCGGCTCATTTTTTTCCTTCCATTTCGATTGCTGACATTTTGGGTGCTCTCCTCCTCCTGTCATCCATAAATTTTCAAGTCTTTGTCTCCTCTCTAAATGACTAGTTTTCCAGGTGTTACAAACTTCAAATACTTCTGAAGACTCTGCTTGCCTGCCCACACAGAAATGCCCACACTTTCTCTTTTGGAGAACAAATGGCATAGAGATAAAAACTGATGCAGCACCATCACATTTTGTTCTTTGTCATAAGTTTTGTCTTCACGGACTACCAAGTCAAAATTAATATGACACTTGATTAACTCCGCCGTCAATCAAATCCAATTGCCTGCATTAGTGTCACATGTTCGCAAACCTCCACCAACGATGAGTCAACTGCTTATCTGCAAGAGTTACTATAGCATCTCCCTATATATTCTAAATCTGAGTAATGTGTTTTGATCGAGCGTGCAACAAGCCGGATGCATGCTTGTGTGCGGCTCTTAGAATAGAACTGCCGGGGAGGGCGGGGGGGAGGTATTGTGTGAGGCGTTTACTCATCGATCACGGTGTTAATGTGGGGAGTCACACCTCCTCAGGCCCTGCATCCAAGACCAGAGGAAGCACAGGGGCCACCGATGAGTAGACGGAGGAACAACAATCCTCGGATGTCGTCATGTTTCGCAGTGAAATGGGGGTTATTTATAGTTGGAGAGCGCAGAAGGATCAGGATTTGTCATAACAGTGACATTTCGAAAGATTTCTCCGGCATTCGGAGGTGTCTTGGGGGTGGATGGCGAAGGATGGACACGTTGGTGCGTGGGACATGTTGGAACGTCTTGGATAGCAGAGGTCCTGAGAGATAACAATGTCTCGAAGGACACAGAAATGTATCTAGCCATGCTAATAATAAGCTCTAAATTGATTCAGCATTCACATGAGTGAAGAGGTTTGTACTGCTCCAACAAAATGACCACAAGTTATCTGCAAGGGTTTGATAAGGCTGAGATTTCTCAGTGTTAATCCTTCAAGCATGGAAATCTAGTGGGGAATAATTATTGTTTCTTTTTTATTGTCAGGCTGAAGCAGAGTAGAGATACTGATAAATAAAAGTTCAAACCACGTTGCTGCAGCTCTAAAATCGATTAAGATTACTTCAAAGCCCAACATTAAACAGCTGATATACTGTCACACTCGGATAGTAACTCTGTGGCTTTCAGCCTACAGCTGTCACCATCTGTTTGTCTGTCTCTCTCTCTCTCTGCCCTGTATGAGCCTCAGCCTGGTTGTCTGTGGCATACTTTCCCTGATCATAAAAAAGTAGCCCACCCACTGACCCACTGTTTTAAAAAAGATTCCACAGCCTGCTGACTGTCACTCCCTGTAGGAAAAGTCGACGCCACCCTGTTCTTATGTTTCTCATTTGACTATGTTGTGTGTGTATATATACGTGCATGTGGGAGAGAGCGAGGAACTCACCGGTTGAGGAAGTCACTGCTAGAGTGCCAGTCGGATCCCTGCGATACATAAAGATTCATGTGTTAACGCATGTTGGAGACGGAGTCAACTACTCTGATATAGTTGCTCTGAAAGCCTCAGTACGATTGAGATCCACTAACATTTCCTCAGAGCTACTGTTGATCAGAACCCATTTTAAGATTAATGTTTTTGCTTGTAGTCAACATCCTACATATGAATTGTTGTAATATTGCAGCATTAGCCATTACATTTAATAGCATGTGGCTCTGAATCTCAATTACAAGGGATTTCTTTAACTCATTTTGTGTTGTGGCAAAATGGAAGTCCAGGATAGGAAACAAAAAGAAACTGAGAACAAAACATTCATCACATTCATGTCTGTGATTTGTGATCAGTTAACCAATCCATAATCCACATGCACCAACTACCAATAATTCATTCCCATGTAACCATTTGTGTTGTGCAGGCATAACATGTTAGTGGTTAGCAAACTTAGCAGTGGGTTAAACAGAGTGCAGGTAGTATTTAGGCAGACCACAGGTTTTCAAAAAGCACAAATTAGTGAGGGACGCAGGCGACGCTAGCTTGGCAAGCTCGGGCAGAGAAACACGGGGAAGAAGAAGAAGTGGAGGACAGATAAGAAAGCATCTCGATCGGTAAATTCATGCACAAAGAAACACAGGCAGAGGGGAAAGAGGTGAGAGCGGTGGGTCATTCTTGACGGATCTTCGGTTTCCGCGATGAAAGGCGAGGATCCTTCTGGCAAACACTTCTCCCAGTCAATGAAAATGGCAAAAAGCTGTCAGGCAAAGTAATCCTAACCTGGCATTTAAATGTTTAAAAGGCAACATATGTGCAGGAATAAGATCCCCTGATGGAAAACCTGCTCTGACCATATGTTGCCCCAGCTGGAATTTAAAGTTCATCAAAGAGGGAAGTAGTTACATAAGCATCACCATCTGAGACGCGGAGAAAAGGGTAACTTGACATTAGCTATCCCGTTTCACCGCACGCTTAAAAAAACAGAAGCAGGATTCACCTCGAAGGTCAAAGCAGGTTAGAGAGCCAGCCGGCTCAGGAGGGGGAAGTTACTAATGACCAAAGCTGCCCTTCACTAACAGATTGTTATCAATATATAAAATGTAGAATTTTCTAATTTCTAAACTGATATTAGAACATAGTTCAGCGATATACTATTTAGAGAATATCATCCCACATGCTACATTACAGTTACACTTTAAGCAGTAATTCCACACCCAATGGTAAAATAAAGACAATACAAAAGATCACTGACATGAACTGCAATTTTTAATAAAACGCTATTCAAAACTTACAAAAGGCAGATCAAGCAACAATAGACACTTCTTCCCTGTATTTCTTAAATAATACTGTCATTGTGTCTGTGTGTCTTTCCACAGCATGAGCTAATAGAAGGCTTGTGACCTGTGTCCTTAAAGATTGGTTGAAAACACTGGCTTGAAAAGCCCCTTTATTACTGTCAACCAGTTGTATGTCTAGGCCCTTTAAGAGGGGGATGGCAGAGTAAACTGAAACACAGGATATAAAAGTTTACTGAATGGAGTGCATAGCTTTAAAACCAGCACAAATATTTGCTAGTGACAAGATATAAACACCCTTTTACCAACCAATGCAGCATCGTCAACTAAAGTGACCATAAAAGTCTTTTTGAATTATATGCATAGCTTACAAGAGGCAACCAGTGGCAGAGGGTAACGGAACTAACTGATCACAAAAGTGTAATTTGAAAAAGAAAACATTTATAGTTAAAGCACAGTTTCACTAACAAAATATGCCGTTTGTTTCACTTTGTTTTATTTATAACTTATTAATGCAAATAAAATTAAAATAAGCAAATAGCTGAAATGATATCAGGCATGTTTTCTGAAGTATTAAATAATTAGCATTCCAACTGAAACATGACATAACGTAATATGTACAGAGGAGTCCATAGACAGTACACAAGGCCAAAGTGTCCTAAACCTGAACAAACTGTATCTTCTTGAGGCAGAGATGGGACTTGTAGTCAGAGACGAAGAGGGTTGTGGGCGGTGTTAAAGGGGTGATGA